CTCAAAGCGCCATGTTGTGATTTTTGTCCACAGAAAGGGAGGCCCATTGTGCAAGTCAGCCGACCGAGTGAAGCTGTTCCTTCGTGGCCAGCGACAGCTTCACCCTCTAAGGTCGAACCGAAGGCGGCGAGCTAGCAGCTAGCCGCAGCGAGCGTGCCTCAGCTTCTAAGATGGTCGACCTGGTTTGGTGGTCGAACGATGCTTCTTTCAGTAACCATTAAATCAATAGGTTGTTTGCGCGAGCATGCGACTGCCGCCGCGCGGTCGAAGTCGGCGTCCGCCTTTCTTGGTCCGTCCCCGGGGGACTGAACAGCAGGTGCAGCGGAAGGAACAGCCGCAGTATTGCCTCGTGAACCGGCCGTGAGAGCCGCGGCATGGCCTTGGCCCTTTGGGTCAAAGCAGAAATCTGGCGAACCTCAGCTGAAGGTTCCTTCATCTAAAACCCTGAAGCATACCGATTGTGTGTAGGCCTGTCTGAGTAAAGAACAAAGTTCCTTGGTGTTCAGGTACTCATCAAATCCTACTATACTACTCTTGGTCCGTGGTCCCCCTCCCCCTACTCTTGAGGCCCTGACATGGAACAAACATTATTTGTTCAATCAAGCCGATCTGCCTCAAACACCACCGATGATTCTCCACCGACTCATGGCAATTTCATGACTCAGAACCAACTCATGCAAGGCACCATGTATTGACAAAAAAAACAGAACCTCCATAGCCAAAGGACTCTGTCTATTGTTCCATCTTCTTCCATCTATTTGTCACATCATGTCTCATCACTTATATTAATTGAGTGTGTTTCTTTCTCACCCCCAAACCTATCACTTCAGACTGCCACACCTTCCAAGGGGTCACCAGACTTCACTTCCACCTCAGTGGACACCCGAGCACCGGCGGGTCTTTGGGCGTGATTTCAAAGAACCTCCGACCTCCGACCCACCGAGACCCACCGCTGAGCTCCCGCTGAGCTCCCGCTCGCATGGTATTGGCATCGCAAGGTTCCACTCGAACGCCCACCTCCGCCTCGCCGCGCTGGGGGGTCCTCGGTCATGTCTTCCAGGCCCGTTCCTGTGGGCGAAGCGGAGCTCGGCGAGCGACCGCGAGGAGCTCGGCGAGGTGCGAGGAGCTCTGTAAGAGGGGTTTGGGGGAGGTGGACACCAAGGAAAGGGAGCTGGGTCTTGGGAAGTCTCTTTAGGACGGCATGCTATGGCATGCTCTAAGCTTGTTGCTGGTGTCCAACCTACCAAAAGATGAAGAAAGATCGCAAAGTATGACTGGGAAGGTCAGCAAGCTCGGTGTTGCATCTGTATGTCAATTTGTCGAATAAACACCGTGGAGACTAGACTCCCAAACTGACTTTGATGGTTCAGGACCACTTGTTGGATGGCTTTCTGACTCCCAGCAGTGCCAGCCCAAAAGCAAGTCTGTTCTAATCATATCCAATCGAACTCCCCAGCATATTATGCTCTTGTACACTCCGGCTCGCCAACATGATGGCATCATTCTCGCATGTCTCTTTGCACACAGAATACCAAGCGTCTTTGTCTTCCCACTTCCACACGACAGCTACGGAGTGAACCAACACCATCAGGCAAGCACTCGCACTATGCCTAAAAAGACCCTTTGGCACACCCAACGAAAACAATAGCTGGTCGGTGGCTTCAACGCACTTGACAGATATAGTTAGTGGGTTCAATCATCCCAAGTAAGGGTTGAAACATGTTGACACACACACACACACATGCACAAATATATCCGGTCATCTCCGAAACCACTGTACCAGCACCCAGATCTGTCCTCCTCCAAAGGAGGCCAAGAATGCCGCCAGTGCTGCCATGTCTTGCCGGGCCGGTGGCCTCGGAGACATGGATGTTCCGGATCGCGAGCTCTGCGGCGCCAAGCGGCGAAGGCGCGGAGGCCAGGCGTCGATATGTCCTTTGTTGGCCTCCAACCAGCGGGACCATGGTAAAAGAAGGTAGCCATCGAAGATGCATGATGCACCCATAGATATAGGGGCAGGGAAACCCATGGAGACTCCCAACTAGTTTGTTTTGGTCCCATCTATTTCCCTTCTTCCAGGAGGTCGCCTGGGAGGGAAGGCCTCCCCTCGAGTTTTTGTTGCCACCATCCCCATCGTCCGAGGGGCGCAGGCTCCAGTCCTCGCTGCTCATCGGCACACAACCTGCAGAGTTGGCAGCGAACCCATCAGTGGAAGCATTGGAGTGGCACCGAAGGCCCCTGTGGGCAGGAAGCTAGTAGGTTGGAGTCATCGCTCTTAGGTTGGAGGCCACCGCTCGTAGGTTGGTTGGAAGGGTTGGAGAGAAAAGGTGTAAAAAAGACTGACTATGACTCTCTATATAGATGTCTGTGGACATTTATGTGGAAGAATAGTGTCTAAGTACTAGTCTAGGTGATAACACAGTCTTTGATGGCTGCATCAAGTGATACTGGAGCAATTTATGTGTAGCCGTTTGGAATCTGGCAAACATGCAATTGTCTGCTTGCGACTACTTCACGCGACCAGACTAAGCCTAGCTTTGCTGATCAAACAACATAGCCTTAATGATTCAGGATGCAATAAATGCAAAAGGAGGTGAGACATCAGCAAAGTTAGCTGCTCCCGGAGAGATCTTGCCAGGTCCAAGCACCTTTGGATTGCATGCGCCACAATAATGTTGACAACCCCTCATTGCTGCATAGTACTCAAAGTCCAACCGTCCATTTTGCTAGCCCAAAAGAGTACGATTGACAATCCTCTTGCTTCTGTGAGCTATACAAAACCGGAGACGTGTTCGTTGAAGATCAGCAGGACAAACATGGACCAACCCTGCTGGGACCTCTGGGGAATTCCTGACGCCGTGAACAGGCCGAACACATGGGACCAGGCTTGGACTCCAAATGGAAAACCAAGACACCCAATTGGCCGGTGAGTCCCATCAATGTCCAATTCATCGGAGCGTCCTTCGGTCTTGACGAAGCACCTGTCCGTCGACCGGTCTGTCCGTCGACCACGGTCCGTCGCTGTCCGTCGGTCGGGAGCGCACCAGGAGGTCAGCGGGAGCGGCCGGTTCATGCCATCGGGGTCCTCAACGCCGCGAAGCGCACGTCGCTCTGCAGGGTGACCAGCAGGTCACAGATGGTTGCGGGGTGCTGGATCCATGGTCACCATGGTCACCGAGTCACCTCTCCATCCCTTTTTGATACATACGTTTTTTGGATGGTTTTGGTCATGAGGGTTGGACCAAGGAATTTTCACAAGTGTAGAACGCCCCCCCAAAAAAAAACTCTGTGGCTGGGAGAAGGGCATGAATTGGGATGCATTGGGTATCATGGGGTCCATCAAAGGGTGTGCGTGCGTGAAGAGGTGCGTTAGAAGGAACGAGCAACAATGACCGGTGGTTGCAAGTAAGTGCAACATGACCAGTGTATGAAATCATGCCACTTGGTGCCACTGGTTCTACCAATCTGTCATAGTCTCCGCACATATCTGAGCTCACCTGGAAAGTCCGACCACGGGGCCTAGATGGCACAAGGCCCTGCCTTGATCAAGTGGACCAAACCTTCAGCCAAACCCTCAAGTTCAGATGGCAAACTGAAGGTGTCAACCTGTTTAAGTTCAAACCATTGAAGTGTTCGATCTTATAGGGTTCAAATGGCAAACTCAACCTGTTTAAGTTCAAACTTAGGTGTCAACCTATTGAAGAACACTCAAGGTGTCAACCTGTTTGACGCTCTTCGCCCACCAACCACCGTCCGAACCCACGGTCCCGCATGTTCCGCCGGTCGGACGTGGTCGGGTTGTGACTCCTCGGAGACGTGGCTCTTCGAGGAGCTCGAGGACATCAAGTTGGTCACCAAGGGCTCCAGCCTCTCGAAGAATCGATCAGCTGCCCGGGCTGCCCGGGCTTAGCTGGGGTGGGTGGGCCCGTCAGAGCGACCCCCCCGACTAAAGGGATGACCTTTGGTTGGGGTTGGGGTGAAATTGGAATCCATGCTGTGAATGGCTCCCAGAAAGGATACATACACCATCTCTTTATATCGCTACTGGTGTAAAGGACTAAAGGACAAATACCCAAGCACTCCATGGCACTAGAATAGCTTTTCCAATCTTTGCCACCCCATTGTTCCACCAGGAGCTGGCCAGTCGCATGGGTCGTATCAGGAAATAGAGTGCCATGCAACTGGGCTGTCCGTAGGTCCTTGGTCCTTCAGTGGTTGAGTGAAAACGTTCCTTCAAAACCAAAAGGACCAAGGATGGACTAAGGGTCTGGTTGAGTACCCCTTAGTACAGACCGTCAAGCCGCCCCACCTCGACCGGCAGGTCACACAGCCCACGCGATGCTTCAAGGCTGCCGCGACGGGCTCCTCGGCGACGGGCCCAGCGAAGGGCGGGGGGAGTGAAGATGGTTGAGAATTGGGCTTGATGATGAGTGACATGAGGACATCTAGTGACAAATATAACCTGACCACTGACCTGACCTGCTTTTGGGAGGGGGTGATGGTGAATTAACTTTCACTGATGGATTTTGAGGAAGTGCAGTAGATGGCAGTAGTATGCACCAATATCAGGTGGACGTGCCCTGGTAGACGTTTGCTTAAGGTTGTATTTTGACCTCCTTCAGTCATATCTGGTGAAGTGCTCCATCCAACTGAAGCAACATTTAGGATCAAGCGACGTGACAATGATGAGTTGGGAAGTTCCCATCTAACTTGGACATGTGATCCAAGTCACAGCAAATAGGCGTATGAACACTTTTTTTGTGTGAAGGCCGTCTTTGGACAGAATTTATCGTATGGACATGTTAATTAACGAATTAGCGTATTTAGCCGTATGGACAACAAAACAATACCGTACAAAACCGTACCCATATTAAAACCAAATGTTATCAACATTTTATTGACAAACACCCAAACAATTGTATAGTAAAACCCAATCAAACCCAATATTCGGAGGAATTCCAGCCGTATTTGTCCATTTGACAAAAAAAGGCCGGATGCACGGATTTTTTTGTGCGGACGTGTTTGAACAAAAGCATGCTCATTTGGATTCCCTGGTATATATAATCAATGAATAACCAAGTCTTTTGACGCGTTCCATGGACACTGCAAGGCGGCTCCACAGGACTGCTTCCAAGATTTCAAGCACACAATAACCAGTCCATCTCGGTCACTTCTTGGGACACAGTTGGACTCCTCAAGTCCTGGTCCTGTCCCCGCCCACGCTCCGCACGTGGTCGCTCCGTCGGGCCCAGGACGACCGGAGCGTCCGCGGTGGCGTCACACGGTCCAAGACGGAGGTCCAACGGGGATGTCCGCGGGCCAAAAGGTTGCTCACCGCTCACCTCACGAAACAGCATCCTCATCCATGTAGGCCGTGCGAATGTTGCGCGTCTTCAAGAAGAGTGGCAAGGATGGGTCGTACATTCGATGTGGCTGATTCAGAGGTTCTCCAAAGATGATGTGCCAAAGGAACATCATGTTTTGACAGACCACACGGCCCTTCATGTCCAAGTGAGCCGCCCACCTTTGGCGTTCCACCCTCCATGGGCTGGGCAAATAGAAGTAACTCTGTGGGGAGGTCACAAAGTGCAGCGCATTTTCGTAGAAGCGGCGGCTGCGCAAGTGGGCCCGGTCCCTGGAGAGAACGAAATGGGAACAGCAGTAGGTGCTGACATCCCCTGTGTTTGGGGCAATACTGCTCCCAAACAATCCTTTCCACAAAGGAGTCCTTGGGTCTGGGCAAAAATGAATTCTCTAGAGACCGAATGGGATGATAGTCGAAAACAATTGCAGAATCCATGGGTCCGTATAAAAAACATCTTCACAGCCGGTTCGGAATGAATTGAACTGGGAAAACCTCACCTCCATTCTTACCAGGAAGGTTTCATTTTGAGTCAGTCGTCCAAATTGGAGTCCAGGCGTCATGGTGTCCCGGTTCCACCGCATAGTGACCCGGTTGTTACCCAAATGGGCAAAGGGTACGCTGGCACCATGCATCAAGGCCCTCAGAGTATCATCGATGATGTTTGGCCGCCCAGCGCCGATGTGCTCCGGCATGTCAGCATGGACAAAGATCATATGCCTGGTTGGGAGGCATGAAGGCATCATGTTTGCTTTGGACAATTATACAATACAATTGTTCGAACAAGTTGAGATTTACACAAGTCTTTGCAGTGTGATTCACTTGTGGTATCAAATCAGCTGAATGCATGCTCAAGAGAAAAACATAAATAGCGCCCCACGACCCCCACCTTGGAAGCACATAATAGTAGTGGTACAAGTATCCCAAGTAGGCACTGCATTCATCTGCGCGCAGTGGCAAATCCTCCACTTCCAGCTGCTCCACTGAGCGCCACAGGGCTCTGAAGGGCACGGCGTTGGTCGCATCGACACCGGGGCACTTGGCGATGAGGACCAAGTCCACTGAGGGCATCACCTTGCGACTGAAGGAGGAGTTCATCCAGGAGAGCTCCTCGCGACCTGGAAGCAGCTCGATGATAGCATTCGGGCATCTGAGGGAAAAGCAGGATGTTAACTAACAGTAACTAACATCGATCTTCATCCAGGAGATCCTCTGGCAAATCGTTCATGTTCAAATTCTTTTGACCAACTATGACCAAAACATTGCCCAAGTCCCCCCCAAAAAAAAACATGGAAACCGTTGAGGAGCCAAAACATCGGAGGACAGAAACACAAAACATCGAGAACGCACAAACCATGCCAGGTGACAGTAGCTCAAGACCAGGGTGACATCCGGAAACCTCCGAAATCTCAGCTGCTTCGCTTTGATCCGAGAGTTGCTTCTCAAGCGTTCGAGCCCCAGTTCTAAGGGCCAAGCATCCAGGTCTGTATCTTGACTCCGAACACGAAAGGCATGCCTTTGAGTTGCTTCGGGGCCTTTAAAGGAACACCTGCACACTTTCTCTACAACAGATTTCCCAAATTCGAGAGTTCCAACAAACATATGCCTGGAAGCTTAAACAAAAACACAATGTTCATCAGAACTGGGATGCTGCAGATTCCGCGTATAACTCAGCAGTTGTTCGGTGATGGTCTCTGGCCTCTCCAAAAATCCCCGCTCTTCGATTTGCAGTAACTGCGCTTGCAGGGCCGCCGGAGGACACAAGAGGAACCGTGCGTCATAATTGGCCAAGATCCGGGGCCAAAGCTCAATCAGGCTGGGCTTGGAGCGCCCCAAGCGGTAATACTCGAAAGCCAAGTCTTTGAACTTGGTAAAGTAGGAACTGTTGCAACCTGCAGCTTTGGGATCTCCCCCAGCTTGGCAGCAGGATTCAAAAGTATAGACCTCATCCCAGCATTCGTTATTCCCTTCAGGGCCAAATTCAGGTGCACAACAGCTTTCGAAGGTGAAACCAATGGACCAACAACTGCCGCTGCGTTCCTCCGATGTCGATTCAGAGATAGCTTTGCCGGCTTTGCTGGCCGTCACGATGCCCAGGATGAAAACAAGCATCTGGTACATAGAAACTCATCTGGAGTCAGGAAGCGACCAAAGAAAGGCTTTCAAAACAAGCGCATGCAGGAACACTACACTACAACTGTCATGGGCCCAGATTGCTGCAGCACCCATTGCACAAAAAAGATCTGTTCGACCAGTTGATACTCGCGATTCGCGTCCGGCACACCGGGTTTGATGTCTTCGCACGGGGCGTTTGGCTTCCAAATTGAAATCCAGGGAATTCGGGAATTGGATCCCACCCAGGAGCGTCCGGCATGGGTGTCAGATCTTGCCAGTATGTTGAAGCAGTGTACCCGGCTAAGACCAGCTATATAGACATCCCGACGCCGACCTGTGCGCCACGGCCGACCTGCTGGAAAACGTCTATGTGGGTCGTTCACCGAGAACGTGGAGCTGTTGGGAGCTCATGGTCCTGTTCTCTGCATGTCCTGTCCGTGAAGCTGGAGCAGGGACCCCACACCGAACGCCTATTAGCTTCATCGACGTGCCGCTAGACCCCTCTTTGTTCAAGTGTGACATTCTTGGAGCAAGGATATCAATGCCCTTCACCCGCTATCTTTGCATGTCAGGGCACTATGGCCTAGGCAATAGCAAAAAAACACAACTGCGTTGTTGCATTAGGGGTTCCTCTGCGTTGTTGCTAGGCCCTCTGCTCGCTGGACCTGAGTGACCCGAGCTGTCACATGGAGCGCCTTCCGAAGGCCTTCGTGTCCTGGCGCACGACGGAAACCGCACGTGTCCAGTCACCGCACGTGTCCAGTCACCGCGGCGTTCGAACCGCCGGAAACCGGTTCCAGCGGAAACCGGTTCCGGAGGAAGAATGCCAGCTGCGCTTGGCTGCACAAACAAGTTTGAGCAGTAAATGCCCTTGGAAAAGGTGAGATGAAATGTCTAGTTATATAGTAGTATTGAAATGTATTGAATAGTCATATATACGTGATAAAACGTGATCATATTTTCCGTGGCTGCAACTCATCAGTACATGGAAGAACAGAATTGTGTTACATTCCCCGGCCCCCCCAATCACTGGGTTTTCTGAGAAGCACTGAATATCTGGCAGGAATATCTGTAAGCAGCAGGTACAGTTTCATTCTTATATAGACCCCTGGGATGGCTGGGTGACCCTTTCAGAAATGGCTTTCAGCTCACCAAAAGCCCTCCAACGCCCTTCCCGTCCAACCGCAGCGTGCTGCCTCGCACTGCGAGCACTTGGCTCAGCAGGTGTCGGGTCTGCTCCACCCTGGGTGGCCGAAACTGCGGTTGGGCTATTGTTGGCATGGCTGAAAAATCTCTGTCTGTGATGTGTCAGACTTAAAGCAAACGGCATAGATTGTGGTTGCTTTTTGGACCCCATGACCATCCGGAGTGGACACAATGGGGTCCCCAAAGCTCTTGTAAGCTTTCTTGAGCATTGGCATTGGCAAGAGATCATCAGGTTGAATTACAGTAAAACAACCCGAAAGAGTATGACTCAATGCGTTGGGATCACCATGCCCAAACAGGGATGGGCAAATGGACAATGAATGACAATGACATCTTCTACTTCTATAGACTCTAAACCCGTCACCCAGTCATGAACTTCCCATTGCTCGTCCACGCAAAAAATAAAAGCTTGCTTTTGGGGCCCCACAACATCACAGTGGGTGTACTTCCGAATGATCCAAGGAATTGGGGTGTCTATGCCGATCCCAGAAAACGTGGGCTTTTGGGACACCCACTATATACGTTCAATGTTTCACAACCCACGACCAATCCAATGGTGTCTCGGAACTCAATGATCACAATTATCATGAACTACCTATTGCTTCGAAAGTACCAACAAAAATGCATGATATTCTACAGTAGTTTCACAATGTTTCACAGCATATTCTACAGCATATTCGTATTAACTACAGTAGTTTCCATGGTGTCTTGGTCTCTGCGCCTGGATGGTCCGTCACGGCCATGCGGAGTGGAAAGAGGCATGAAACACCGACACGACCGGCGGTCCGGTCCGGTCGGGTGCTTTGCTTTTCGGGTTGAGGTACTACGTCATGTGGGAACTCTGCAACCTGTTTTGTCTTCTCCTCATCCTAGCTGCGCACCGAGCACACCAGAAGAAACATCATTTCAGGGAGATTTGACACTCTTGTCCTTCCTGATCATGGTAGTTTCGATTGGTATCTGATCTTTCAGATTCATCATATGAAAAAGACATGATCACCTAGTGTGACATTCTCAAAGACATTCGAATCCCAGTGCTTCCTTCACCTCTCGTCCCTCTCCACTCTTCCGGATCCAACGCCGTCGGGTCGGTCGCCCCCGACGCAGTCGGGTCGGCTTCGTTGGGATCGAAGTCCAAGACCTGACGCGGTCGGGTCGGCAGTCTGAGGCGGCCGGTCTGAGGCGGGCGTTGAGGATTCAGATCCAAAGAGACATGCCGCTATGTTCCCTTTTTTTAACTATGCCTATGAATAGAATATATAATTAATATATATATATAATGTTTAATATATATGCCCACATGATCCTACATTGACCCTGTTTCAAGCACCCCAATCTGGCAAGTCTGGGGATTGGAATTCCAAAGGATCTCCAGCTGTATGACATAGATGGTCAAGAGCATCTTGGAGGTTCTTTTGGGGGGGAAACTCCCGACGATAACTTTAGATCCATTCACTTTGGGATGAAACAACAGCGAGTCAAACGATTTGGGAACTCCTGGATTTCCACGCTGCGTCCATGCGAGAGGATGGTGGTTTGACCGGACCAAACCATGGGGTCCATGGGACCAGATCATGATGAGAGCGATGCCAAGTTGGGTCCATGTGGTAGTCTGCATTTAGAACTTAGAAGCACTTCAAACGTCAAACACCGTTTAGAATCCATTGAGCCTTATTGAACATATATAATATATAACCCATCCTGGGTTACCCCCTAGGTGGGATCCAACATCGCGTCTGATCTGGGTTTATGAAGCTGATCCACTACTTCAGTGGCCTGACATTAAGCTTTCCCTGTGTAACCTGCTGGACATCTGCGCACCCAGTTGATCCATGAGGACTGGTGACTGGCTAAATTGAGCAAGTGGTTCACATCCGCCAGGATGACGGATGACTCAAATGCTGAGATGAAGTCATACTGTTTGCTAAATCACTGCTCCTCTTTTGAATCTTTTGTGGTCTAAACGTGGACACCAGCAATGCGAGCGACAAAAGTGACGCAACTGCACCAAGGCCAGGGCTGCTTTCGAAGCACTTGGGGCACTAGGACTAGGAGCCATGCTGCCACCGGGTTTTGAAATCGTCACTGTCCACAAAAGAAAAGCTGCCGAACAAACAAAGTGGCCGATAGCCAAACACCTCGATTGCTTGGCATGGCTGATCACCTTCATAGCTTGTCATGGTCAAAACATCTATAGCTGTTCTGTCAATTCAGTGAGGCAAAATGCTTTCTCAAGGGTTCTAGTTCTGTGCAACACTCGCTGCCCAGGCCAAATCTTTCTGGGGCCAATGGCTAATTAGTTGTGGCGGACACTCAACCCCACAACAACGTTTGGGGTGAACATCACATCGTGCACGTCCATGAAGGAACCCCTCAATGGATCGGAATTGAAGCCCCAAATGACCAGGATTCAAAAGGCTCAAGGTCAGCACACCGGTCACCCTCCAGCTGAACCCTTTGGGGAAAAAGAACACCAGAGGGTGGCACATCCATCGTGGCACATCCAGACGTTCACTGATTCATCAGACTTCACAACTCAGACTCATCACAATCCCACACTTCCCAGTGCTTAGCACTCACCTCGCAGCACCCTTTTGTGGCGCGCCGAGTCGAAGAGGGCGGGGTGACCTGTTCGGCCCCCCCCGCCTTTGGCGGAAGAGATCCCATCGCCGTGCCACGCACCATCCGTCGTTTCCACCGCGGGAAACCCGCCGGGAATGTCTGGGTGAGAAATGAGGGTCGCAGCATGGTCAGCACGTCACTCCATCGATGGTTTGGAGTTCATTTGAGTTCACCATTTAAATATGACTACAAACAATATCAAACAATAACAAACAAAAATAATTCCCAGACATGCCTACATTGACCCCTCAAACCACCCCGTAATGTAGGTAAATCTACTACGGAGTGTCGGGATTGTGTTTTGTTGGCCAATTGCAATGGACTCAAGCGACACCCTCAGGCACACGGGACGCCTGCGGAGATTCTCCAACCACGGAACCACCGGCCGGCCTGTTCAGGAACCTTAGACCTGCATGAAGACCTCAAGCGTCACTCTCAAACAAATGAAACAGAAACAACATGAAACAACAAATAGCATCAAATAACAAGCATTAATTAAACAGCTATATATATATATATATGGGACAAACAATGAAGTTGCAAAACCACATTTGGTCTCCTCTCAAGATGGTTCAAACAGCATGAAACTTAGAGAGGATCGAGGAACCATGAGGATCCCATGTCTATCCATCCTGGAATCCCCAGCTCGCCCTGTCGAAACGTGGCACTTTCATCCGGCGCATCGCGTTGTAGTTCGGTCGACTCGAGCGAGTTCGGCCTCTGCTGAAGTGGTCACCAGTTGGGTGATGGAGGTGATGGAGGGGTAGTCGTAGATCAGAGTGACCTCGCTCTCATCCGTGTGCCAACACGTTTCACGTGTGTGGAGTCGAGCCAACAAAGGTTGAAAGGTTGAGACCCTTGAGAGAAGGTGAGACCTTCAAAGGGCGAATCGCATCATATTCTTGTGCCCATGGATTAAATACAATCAAATTGGCAGCTACTGTACGAATCATTCCGACTCCAATTCCAATCTTCATGAAGATCCTTCAACAAAGACATACTCCGAGCTATCGAACGGCACTGCCAACTCGACCTATGTTTCATCCAACGGCCCTTACTGGTCACCCTTTACATCCTCAGGTCATGTGGGGATAGAACCTATGCACAAGCAGGCATTGAGTGCAGTCTTTCATTCTATAGGCGGAGTTGTGTTCCAAGGACACCTGATCTAGGGACAACCATTCTGTGGAATCTACAAACAGCCTTCAGTACTTGGAACTATCATGATTCATGATCGATATTGATCGATATCGCCACATAGATCGGTATGGCCTGCTGGACAGCCTGCATGCAAGGTGCTTAGAACAGAATCCCTTACTCATCTTGCAGCAACCAGAAAACAACCCAAACACTCTAAGAGTATGAGGAGATGGTTTCAAGGGTCAATATAGGCTAAGTATGTCACTCCCATGGAGTGGTGTGTGTGTGTGTGGTCATTGGTCTTGTCGATTCCTCCAGCTCACCACCTCTTTGAAGAACAAGTCGGGCGAGGCCGTTCTTGTGGGGCTTTCGAGGCCGTTCTTCGAGAGCCAGGCGCGGAGTCGATGGTTTTTTCTGCGGCGCGGTCGATGGAGCCGTTTGACGAGGACAACGCCAGCCATCGAGAAACCAACTGTACTTGCATGCATGACACTCACATTCCTTAGCTAGAATCTGTTTGCAGCATTTGAAGGCATCAACACCGGCACCTTTGAAGCCCTCCATCCTCACAGAGATGGAGAGCGTCAAACGGTTGCAGTCTTTGAAAGCACTAGACCCAATGTTTGTGACGACGTCGGGGATGGACAGGCTATCCAAAGAGCGACAGTTCATGAAGGCGCCAAATCCAATGTGAGTCACGCTGTTCGGTATAGTCAGACTGGCCAAAGAGCTACAGTTCTCGAAGGCGCACGCCTCGATTTGGATGACAGAGTCTGGGATGGTCAGGCTCTCCAATGAGCTGCAGTCTTTGAAGGCACCATGACCGATGTGGGTCACTGAGTTGGACATGGTCACAGTTACCAAAGAGCTGCAGTTTCTGAAGGCACCATGACCGATGCGGGGTACCGACTGGGGGATGCTCACACTTGTCAAAGAGCTGCAGTTACCAAAGGCACCTTCGCCAATGTAAGTAACCGAGCTGGGGATGGTCACACTTGCCAAAGAGCTGCAGTTCCCGAAGGCACCTTCCCCTATGTGAGTGACTGCGTTGGGGATGGTCACACTTGCCAGGGAACTGCAGCTTGCGAAGGCACCAAACTCAATGTTTGTCACTGAATTGGGTATGGTCACACTGGTCAAAGAACTACAGGCTCTGAATGCTCCAGCCCCAATCAACGTCACTGAATTGGGAATAGTTACACTTGTCAAAGAGCTGCAGTTCTTGAAGGCCTCGTCACCAATGCGTATCAGTGAGTCTGGCATGGTCACTCTGGTCAAAGAGCTGCATTTCCCGAAGGCACCTTCGCCAATGCGAGTCACTGAGTTCATGGTCACTCCGGCCAGGTTGCAGCAGCAGCCGAACGCTTTTGCAACGATTTCAGGTTCACTTAGGATTTCAACAACAAACAACGACTCCAAGTCGATCTCCCGGCCGAGCCGGGCAAGCTCATTCTGGTGGGAGCATCTGACGGAATTCTCTTTGAAAACGACTGTTACCTCTGATTCTGGAGAAAGGCCTGCAGCAGCTGCCGTCTCATTGTTCTCCAGCAACCTGCTCTGGCCAATGACAAGCTCCACCCGGGTTGTTTGTCGGGTGAATTCATCACGCCATTGCTGTTGTTGCTTGATCTGCTCCTTGATTTCCCGGCCTGTCATCTCTGGCATCACCTCTAGAAGGAGCACCTCACCATTGAGCTGCTTGACTGAAATCTGTACTGACATAGCTTCGAAGGTCAATCGATCCAAATGATTTTCAGTCTATCCATGCTAAGATCTGTGATCATGTTGCGATTGTGCCGTACAAACACTGAACGCGCAAAAGAGTGAGCAACATACATACTCTCTGACATGGGACATTGAAAAGCATAAGTTGGATTCTCTAAGACGTCAATCAACATGGTGTTTCCCTTTTCCCAAATTTGCCCTTGGCTAAATCAACAAAGAATGCACACCAGAATGAGGCCGACATGCCAACACCACGCATGCTCTTCATTGGTTTCTTCGAACTCATTTCCGTTGGCACAGCAATGGCCTCTGTAAGCCGTCACAGCGATATCAGTGATGTGCAGCACCATGTGGCACCATGTGGTCGGGTGTTTCAAGGGCGGTTGATGGGGTGCTCAAACCCTAACGAGCCCCTATTACTGTCGCAAAAAAACCCTACAGTATTACTGTCGCCCAAAAAACCTGCCCCGCCAACGAGCCCCTGCTGTATCCTTGTCAAGTTTCTTTACAGTCTCTTTTCAAACGACCTCGCTGAGTCGGACCCACCACGCTGAACTGAGCATGCTCTAGCGACGCCAGAGTCAGCTGCGGTTCGAGTGCGGTTCGAGTCTGACGGTGTTTCAGAGCTTCACTTGTAGCAGCAGTTCCGCACCACCCATCCCTAGATGCCATCCTAGCTTGACACTCCCAACTTGGAACATAGTAATTCAATGGACTCATTGGGAAGAATGACCAATCAAGATCTCAGCACTGTCTTAAGTCTTAACCTTCACATATCTTTGAGTTACGAAACAACGAAACCGTGTTTGGGTGTTTTTGGTCCTCTCCGTGTGTCAATCAGCAGGCACCCTATACAGGTTTCGCTCCTGCATCCCCCGGCTTCGTGGGCTGGGCGCTGTGACTCCAACTCCCGACCATTCGGACTCCCCGGCTGGCAGCGGAGGAGAGAGCCCAGGCAGCACCTTCGCCAAATGGTCCTGTCGACGATGTTTGCTTTTGGAAAAAGCCACGCCCATGTGTCCACCAAACGGGTATGATCTTTACATCCAACCAGTGGTTTCATTTGGTTTCTAGACACCCCAGGGATTGTTTCTGTATGTTTCTGTATATTCATTCGGACCAACAATGTAAAGCCCAATCGCACGTCGCACAATGCCGGTGTTACACAAAATGTTGGGTAGTGTCTTGGACTTTATTAGGGTCTTCTACCATCTATTTAATAGCATTATTTGCAAATCAATGAGTTTGCCACACAATCAGGACACGCAGCGTGATGCAACATGACGCAACCGGAGTCCGGTAACAACAACTTACTGATTCGGCATGTAACATATGATGTGACATGTCCTTGTTCAAAACAAATCCTCCCAAAATTGGAAAACAACACACAGGGGATGTTCAACCATTTGATTGCATGTATTACAGCGTATCAATATGGGCTCGACTGCGTGACACGCAAAAAATAGCTAGTCTAAAACACACAAACTAGTAACTATGCACAAACCCATCTTCATCCATTTTCCATACTTCTCCACACTTGAAACATGTTGAAACGATGGTTGCCACAACCCCACCTGCCATCACCTACGTACCACAGGGTCAACTTCCTCCACCCAGATCCCCTTCATCAACCGCCCCAAAACCCAACCGCCCTTTGTGCGGGCTTGCCCGGTGGCGGAGCACCCAGTCCCGGAGGACGACCGCCAAATGACTGGTGAGGCCCATCTCCATCAAAGGTCTCTCCTGTCACGCGCGATGACGACGCATCTGCGGGCTTTCTGCGCGCGATCGCCAACGGTGTGCGGCGCAAAGCAAAGCAGGGTTTTGATGTGGTTCATGCAGTCCGGGGCGCAACGGGGCGCACGTGGTGCTTTCAAAGACTTCAAGGAACCACAACACACCAGAAAACGCACAGCAGTTGGGAGCAACGGAATTGTTGCACTGAGGGCAAACAAGTCCACACCAGCACCCTCGAACAGGTCTCCTCTGAGGTTCGTTGGGCACAGACCGGATGAAGGGTGCTGGCAGGTTGTGTAGGGAATGGGACCCTCTGTTGACACAATCTGGCTCATTTGACACAAACGGTTTCTGGGCTTTGATATCAAAACAAAGACACAAGCCCTGGCAAATTCTAGCATGTTTTGCGAAAGAAATGGGTTTGCCAAGGGATCCCCACACCAACTCCTGTGAACACCCCTTTTCTATCCAGCAAACAAACATCATCCTCTTTGGCATACCCTTTCTCCGTCGGAGACGACTGTGACAGGTCTGATCTTGCGCACAGCTCGCACTCTGTCCGGGTCGATGGGGTCGTCTGAGCCAATGAGGACCTTGACGAAGAGCTGCACCACATCTGAGCGAAAAAGAGAGCACCAATCTGGGAAATTGGGAGCAAACACGATGGAAAGTGACGCTAGTCCTGCAAGTGTTTATATGGGAATACATGTACCTACTGTTTATAGAACTATAATATACAATATACCCTGCAAGTCCGGGTGCAGGTACAAACGAGCTCACGAGCCAACGACCCAGGCAGAATGAGGCGATCGGCCAAAACCTCGTTGTCCACCGGAGCGATCACTTCAACGCAGCTCATCGGTGAACTATTGCCCGCTTCAGGCTCACCATGGGTCCCAAGACCTAGTGGTCCTGGGCCTTTGTGTATGTGTGTGTGTGTGTTTTTGACCAACTCTAAGTGAGGTCTTGGACCCATCTTTGACCTATATAGGTTGGCCCTCTGAGCTATTGCCTGCTTCACTCACCATGGCCATCCGGTCCAAAGACCTGGTGGTAATGTGTATATATGACCAACTCCAAGTGTCATGGAACGCAATTTACCGCCCCTCCCTGGCATATAAAATGTCACATCATTCTTGATACTCTTGTGTAACTTCGGACCGAAAAGAGTTCATAAGGATTCGAGGTGTACCACATGTTTGTTTTTGGTGGGAAAATCAACATGGATGAACATGCTGGAGGAGGCTTTGCTAAGTCAATGGTTTTTGCATGGACCTGCACGAGATTTAAGTATAATATGTTACAAATTGTTTTGCAATACTTGGCGCATTCAGGTTTTGAGCAAGGTAAGGACACCAGGTTTCGGACAATAAAATGAAGCCTTATTAAGGCCTAATGAGCCTTAACAAGCCTTATTAAGGCGCATTTTAGGCTTAAAGCGGGGGGTTGCCTGCGACACTGCGCCTGTGCAGAAATTCTAATTTGGGGAAAATTTTTGGTGCATTGTCCACGTGTTTTTCCGCGTTTGAAGGCATCTCAATCATGTCCTTCCTCCAGGGTGTACCAAATACTAATATACAAAACAGTACGTGAAAAATCACGCAGTCTTGCACACACAGCTACCTGCAATGTTTCGGCTCTCTCCGTGAAACTCCTTATTTGAGCTAATCTTATGCTAATTGTTCAGTGGGGGATATAAGCCTTAATAAGCGTTAGTAAGGCGTTTCTAGTAAATGATGTTTCTTCAATAGTGGTCCTATTTGCCAGGGGTTGGGTTTTGTGTGTGCTTGCATTCCATGAAAGTGAGGTCTTGGACCGGCCCTCAGCATCAAGATTCCAAGATGTAGGGCCTGAAGCCAGGCTTAGGATACTGAAAACCCTTGAGAGGTGCTACTTTTGCAAAAGTCAAGAGGTGTCATCCCGAAGTAATTAGATGTCACATTGTTCTATCAATCGGCGATCCAGTTAAACGAGACTATCAGCCTGCAGGGACAGTCCATATTTAAAAAGAAATAGACAAAGAATTATTATTAACTATTTGTACATATGAATATGTATCCAGATATTCCTGATCTATCTAATATACTCACTCTTGATACTACTCTTGATACCGATACTGCTTGACGCCTCGCGAACCGATGTGAGACCTGTCGTCTCGCACTACCGCGCGCGTTTCCGGCCTCGCAGTACTTCCACATCCAGGGCCTCAGACCGGCGGCCGGCGCATGGTTCCGTCCATGTGCTCAAAGAAGGGAGGATATTGGTCGCCATCTTACTAAAGATGTCTAAAGGGGAGATTCCATGAAACGCAGGTTGGATCTGTCTCCCCGGCTACTATACAGGTCGCGTGACTGGATCATTGAAGTATACAAACGTATACGAGAGCATCCCCTGGCATGGCAAAAGAACGACCACCATTCACGATTCCTACTCAATGCGCATCAAGCAGTCTGTTTCTTCGCCTATGTGTCGAACATGAGCAAGTGCAACAATCGACAGCATTCAGCTTTACCAGTCCCATCCTCACTGGTCCCTCAACCCGGCCTGCACGTCCAGCTTGGGCACGTTTGGCATCTCTGGAACCCGAGCCCTCAGAAACACTGGATGGCGCTCTGGCACCCCACCCACTGTCGTACAAACAGCTGTCCGGTCTAGGGCTCTAGGTGATGTTCTTCACAATAGGGGTGATTCTTTCTCTATGGGAGGCTGTGGCTTCAACTCAGGTTGATCTTCGTGCATCGTTGTCGGGCATCTGAAAGAAACACAGGCTCGTCCTCACGAAGCGGATCCTTCTGCCACTCAGGGCAAGGCCGTCGCAGCTGCCTCAATTGGACGGTCACAATGGACCAGTCGAACACCGGAGGCCGCACTTGCTGAAAGCTGCCCTCAAACTGTTGAGCGTCAAGGCTTCTTCCATTGGACGCATTTGAAGACTTAGCTTGTCAGCAAAACCCGGGATACTAGCCATGATTGCACATAGTCATTCAATATATCATCTCTTTAGTTCAACAGGATCCAAATCCAAAGCTGCCTGGGTTGAGTAGTGAAACTGGCGTTCGCCCGACTCGCTCCGTGCATCTCCGGGCCCCCCGGGCGGCTCCGGCAGCTCCGCCTCACGCGCCTGGCGGAGCGGATCCTGGTGGATCAAACCGAGACTGAGGAGTCAAGTACACATAGTACACATCCGAATCTGGACAGTTGCCTGTTGCTTGTTGATGTGAAACATGATTGATGATTTAGTCGTCAGCCCACGAATCCTTCCATGGCCTTCTGAGTTTGCACGTGGCACCAGCTACATCACCACTCCTCTGAAGGAACCCACGTAACCCTGTCTCTGAGAGTCTTTGAGCCACACCAGCCTGGATCTCTTGCAAGATGGTCCTCGCGTTCTCCTCGATGCTCCTGACTAGGGCTATGGTTGAGAAGTTATCGAGAAACAATGTGCCATGAGTCAAAAGAAACTGCTGGAATATGTCAATGTCAGTTTTTGTGCACATGGGTTCTTTCAAATGCCTGGTTTCGCAACGGTATACCTATAGATTATACTGACCAGCCATAGCGACTTGCCGATCCATACGTCCACATCAATGAACCAAATCCAACGTCATCACAAGCTGCTTCGTTCCCACATCGTTGACCCGCATACATTGCAAGTAGGTGCTGCATGTTTCCTTCAGCTCACACATGGGTTTGATATTCACCCAAAGGATATTCACTATCAACATCTCCTACTGAAGCATGCGAGTGAACAACACTGGTTGGCTCTTTTTGTGCAACACCTATACAGCCACAAAAGTTCACGAATCATCCTGCACCTGCACCTGTCCAGAACCCATCCAAACACCATCCAAAGCCCAGCACCTGCCATCTTCTCCCAGTCCCGACACCGCCTGAAGCCCAGCTGCTCGCCAAACCAACAGGCAGCCTCTGTGGCGTCCCTGGCCTCCCGGAAGGACCTCCGGCCGCATGGCGTCATCTCAACCCTGTCGATGCAGGGAAGAGATACGGAAGAGAACATGCTAAGCGAAAAGGAAGATCTTTGGACTCAAAAAGGCCGGCCACCCACCGAGATCCTTGGGCCGTCCAATGCGTGGCTAGCCGGACATTCAGCGCTGAAACCGCTGAAACCTCGCCTTCGAGTGAGGTGCGCCTTGCCCATGAGGAGATACATGTGCAGAACCCCAATGAGGTCTGCGGACCTGGGGGTCAATGACTCGGCAAACCGGCGGGACTTTGTGGCGCTCCGGAGGGTCTTGCAAATCTTGTGAACAATCAGGGCCCCCGTTTGTGGGGATCGTGTGAAAACCGCTTGGGAGGTTGTAGATCTGAAGAGCCGTGGGTGTGATGTTGACATCTCTTGAAACTGGAAATGAAAACTGGCCTGAAAGGCCTAAGGCTGGCAGCCCTATAGCTATGAACGCAATGATGACGTCTGAGCGTCAAAGCTTGGAAGAATCTTGAACTAATACCTATATTAACTTCTTTGTCACATAGCACCCAAGATCCAATAACCATACAGATTCCCAGATCAAAGCTCCAAATCAGAACGTTTGATGACCCCCCGTCCACTCCCTCTGAGATGCCAAGAAACTCTTCATACGCAGTCATTGCAGTCTGAGCTGTCCTGGACCGGAATAGAAGCTTAAACCACAGAAACTCAAGTTGAGCTGAAACAGAAGTTGAGCTGAAGCGCTCTGAATTCTTTGCTATGTCCGGTTGTTCATGCATGTACTTCCCAAAGTCCCTGTTGTATTTCATGTAGACTGTTGTTGAGCAAAACCCGTTCATTCGGATGCACGCACTTGCGGACCGTCTGTGACGAGCGCACCCACTCTTCCCCTTCTCGCGTTGTGCGAGGGGTAAAGGTGGGAGTGAACCAGAGTGAGACGTCACTAGAGCTACCGTGAAGACGAAGGGGTCGAAGACCAAAGAAGAACACGAAAATACGGCAAAAGGGCGACCAAAAAGAACTGTATCTCGTATGCGGTAGGCCCACCTGACCATTCCCGCTGGCCATCAAGCAAATTCGGACTGAAATGAATTTGGAAGTGGACCACACCCGCCTCATGGGATATTGCAAGAACTGCGAGGTGTCAAACGACCCGTGAAGCGAGGGTGGATCTTCTGCATTTTAATTATCGAACCTTTTGGCTCAATTAGTTCAATCTATCAACTGGCAGTGGGATGTCTAATACTGTCGAAGTCCTTTTTTCGAGCCGTGGCGTTACGGATGAGTATCAAAAAAGAATCTCGCTGGTCTGCCGGAACCTCTGGCCAGTCTGGCCAAGGCTGTGCCGTGGGGTCCACAGGCAGATCAGGAAGGGGTATCTCTGTGTGGTATGGCGGCTCGTGGGGCATTTTCTGCAAAAGTCCATGCAAGAAATCACACACCTGAGGCGTGTTTGGCAACTGCGGTCGGCGCGAAAGGCCCCCTTCATGGTAAGGGGTGAAGCCCAGACGAGTTAAACTAGACGAGCCCTGTTTCTTATACTGCGGGAGAAGGTGAGATTTGGAGAAAGTCTGTATATGTTTCACAATCCATCGGAAATTCTCTGCAAGAACCCGAACACTCCGTTGCTTAATCGGCAACACACTGACTCTTGGATCATCATAGGGCAAAAGAAGTGTCTTATTAGCTTCACGAAGTTTAATGGGCAAGGGCCGGCGGGACCAAAGCATGAAAGAACAGGCAAGCTCCGTCCACGAAATTCCTTGTTCTCCCGTGATAGGCGGGGTATCAGGGCAGGGCCAAACCAATTGTTGACAGTATAGCCACACCATTCGCGCAAGATTAGTGCCCCAAGGGCAGCACCAAAAGACGACTCGGTGTGGTTCAGCTGGGTGTTCGAAATGATGGCCCTGAACTACCCATGTTCGGAGTTTTTTTTGCATTTGTTTGAGATATGAGATAGGCGGTGTGGGCTGATGCGCTCTGCATGCCGGCTGGGGCAGTGCCGGAGACATCGGGGCATCGCTGTTCCTCGGTTTTTAGCATGCGTGTCAAAGCGAGGTCGATAAGGTATGCGTGAATTTTGTCACAAATGTTGGACTCCTGGAGACGGTGGGCACGGGCTTCTTGGCATAAAGTGGAGAATGTCGGATCATCTGTGAGTCTGGCTTGCCCTGCGGCCTCATCGGCACAAGCATTACCGTGGATATGCCATGCTTCAAACTGGTTATGGGCATCCGAGAGAGTCTGATGGGATTTGATTTTAAAGACGAAAAAGTTTGATGTGTCCCATAGTTCAAGGAGGCGCTGAATGAGGTTCCAATGTGCTTGTTTGTGTGGATGTCTCCAGATGGTGCCTGAGTTGATGGCATGGAGTATATCAGCAACGAATTGAGAATCGGTAACAAACGTCACTGGCTGCGGAGCGGAGCAGGACAGAACCTGTTCGACGGCAATAACCATGGCAAACAACTCTGATCGGTTGATGGATTGATGTCCGGGGCAATGCCCACATGCGAGGACTTGAAAAACTTGCAACTGATGAGTCTCAGGATGGGGTGTGCGAATGACTACAGACCATGCAGCTCTGGCTGTGTAAGGGTCTCGAGTGTCGTCACAAGAACCGTCCGTGTATAGGACGGTATTTGGAGGTACAGAGGCCAGGGGCTGTATGGAGATGGAGGTATGGCGCAGGAACATACCTTGACGCAATAGCGCGACTTGTGGATGGTGCGTGGGTAAAGGAAACCAGCACGTTCGGCGGTTGTTGTTCATATAGTGGGGCTTAAAAGGGCCCTCAATCGAGCTGGAGCTATTCTAATTGCCGGCTGCCTGTATCCTGCTTACCATTTTGGTCCTACCAGGCTTCTACCGGCTGATCCTCCTTCCTTAGGAGAAGACTGGAGCTTAGCCACTCTGATGGAACTTGCAAAAGTCTTTGGTCTGAAGAGATTCCAAGCGAACTGGGCGCGCTTCTTTCTGTTACTGATGCATTCGATTCCACGTGGCAAGGCTCAGACAGCTGGCGCTGTGCACACCTCTCCTGCAAGACCACGCCTTTTGGCAAGCAGAGCACCGCAGGAGGAGGAATTGGTTCGCGTCGCAGGCTAGCCTTCAGATTGGCGTCTATCCTCACTTCCTCTCTGGAGGCCTGCGCTGGCCAAAAAGGCCCGTGCGCAGAATCCTTGAAGATTTGAAGAAAAGAGCGTGAGAGGTTATATAACGATATATATATGATTACGATTGATCATGTCTATATATATATATGATTTTGTATTTGTATATTTGACACACGCACACTTAGTCACAGGTTCATCCAATGTCACAATCCACCCGGTAGTTCGGGATTTAGGAGCAATCAAGCTCCGCTACCACTTTGAGGGTGAAATCCCCCGCAGTGGTGCGGTCTCTACGAGTGGTTATCCCTGGATCGGTTCGAAGAGCAAAGCTGGACAATGAGCGAGTACAAACGAGCGAATGCTAAGCTTTTCTGTCACGCACAGACTTGAGCCAATTGTTATTGGCATGTATATGAGTGAAACAGCATTGCGTAAGAGCTACATATGAACACGTTATCACCAGAGAACGGGGGCCCAAAAAGAACAAACAGAGGGGGGGGCCCCCCCCCTACAGTGAAGTTTTCACGTGATGCATGATTCTCGAGGATTCGAGCCCCTGACTTGCTAAAGCAAGAGAAACTCCAGCTAGCTGGTGCTAGCTTTCATGATCTCAATCCCGAATGAAGCCCCCTTTTCGCAACCTTGTAGAAAGATGTATCAAGTAAACGGTGTTGTGTAACTGTTGTATAACTATTTGTATGGCTACATACATTACATTACATTACATTACAAAACATTACATTACATTACATTACGTTACATTACATTACATTGCATTGCATTACATTACATTTGCATAGAATGCACTCATGTGAACATGTGAGGGAACGAGGCCTTTGATGTTGTTGGAGCATCGGGGTGGAAACGTCAAAAAAAGGCTCGTCGGCATGAAGTCTGGGATGGTTGATGCTCTTGTGCCCAGAAATAGTCCTTCATCACAAGCGCCACTTTGCTGAGCAAATGGAGCATTTCCGAACAAGACCCATACCACCCATACACTGCCGAAAGCAACATGGAAGAACTTCTTCGTCAATTTGGTATCACTTTGCTTGGCATCACCCTGTCGCTCCACCCTGTCTCGCCAGTTTTGTGCTTTTCCCAACTGTCCGAGACTTCTCAACCAACGAAAACCTCTCAACTGTCCGAGATCGTTTCAGAGGCACCCGAGGGCTTCTCCCGTACTCAAGAACTTGAGGTATCCAACCTTGGCGGCACGTCGCCCCACTGCGTAGCGCCGCTCGTAGTGCGCGCTGGTCTACGCGGCACGCGCCCCGGTCTCGGGCGGGCTCGCTACTACAAGTACGCACCCGGTCTCTCCCATGCATCTTTACAAGCTGTCTCTCACCACGACAAGGTACTCCAATGCTTTCAGGGTTCGTGGGCCTTCGGCCTTGGGCCTCTGCACAAGAACTCTGCTCGAGTAAATGCTCATGGAGGGTCACGGAACATCTGGGGCCATAGACCAAGCTTAGTATTGCTCTTTGGAATTTTGGATTTTTTTTTGCTCTGTGGAAGGGTTGGTGCCATCTTCCTTGAGTGATACCATTCTAGGTGCAAAATCGAGAATTCAAAATAACTTATAAGCTTCCTATTCAAGGGTCTAAGAAAACAGCTGTGGCAAAGTCATTGTGCAAAGCGAGGCGTACAACGCCAGCCAACTTCAAGGCATTTGACGGGACTTTGTGAGAATGTGACAATTGAAGGGCAACAGGGGAAATTTAATTTCCTGTGTCCAAAGAATAATTTTGTAGCACCCGCTCGACAAACAGGCAACCCCCACTCGAGAACACGTTTTCCAAAGTTTGTGTAGAACAGGAAGGCTGCAATAGTCAGCCTGGTTGGAGGTTCCCATGCTTGGTTTGGAGCCGCTGGCTGGAGCAATCTTCAATTCAATTCAAGAGAAAATATGGTGCGCAGTGCAAGCCAGACTCCCAAGCTTCCCGTTAGTTAGAAAACTTAGAAGTTAAAACTGTAATGTTGTTACAGGGTCTTTTTCCGGAAGCCTGAAACATTTAAAGCATTCAATGCACCAATGTAAAGAAAGCCAGACACCCAAAATTGAAGAAGTCTTGATCGCGCTCTTTTTTCATTCTGCGCGAGCTCACTGCATGCATCCTGGCCGATGCAGCCAGAGATGCAACAAAAAGCTTTGCGCCCATGCCAGAGTGCATGTATCTTGGCCGACGCAGCCAAAGATCACGCCAGCGGGTTCCAAACCTCGTCGTTTTCCTCACCCTCTTCCATCTCCACTTCCTGGTCGTCATCATCGACCTCCCCAGCTGAGGCTCCGGTTGCTTCTGTCTTTTTTGTTTGTTTTTTGTGGGTGGCTCATCATCGCCGCCTACTGCAGGCTTCGGCTTGGCCCTAGGCTCAGGCTTCTTAGGTGGCTTTTCTGGCTTCGGTTTCGGCTTTGGCTTATTTGGTTGACCCTTGGCTTTGGATTTGGGTTCGGCTTTGGCTGCAGCAGTCACTTGCTCACCAACCGCAATATGCCCCCAGCCTGAAAAATTGTCCTTCTTGCACTTAGAGGACGACATTCTGTGGGCCCTGGCCGAA